ATACTGAGGAGTCTTTAGGACTACATTGCAGAGTCCTTAAGACTATACTGAGGAGTCTTTAGGACTACATTGCAGAGTCCTTAAGACTATACTGAGGAGTCTTTAGGACTACATTGCAGAGTCCTTAAGACTATACTGAGGAGTCTTTAGGACTACATTGCAGAGTCCTTAAGGCTTTACTGAGGAGTCCATTTGAATAGGTGAGCTAACAGAGAATTTCATGCTTTTGTTTTGGTTTGTTTCAAGATGAGATCATCATAATTCCTAGACCTTATCATAGCATTTAAGATTTCCACTTAATTAATTTATATGCACAATTTAAGACAGTAACTTCAATTTACATGATTATCATTTAAGCAAATTTTGTTTTTTTCTGACCAGATAGACATGCATATAATTTATTCACCTGAATTTTGCTGGACTGTGTGAGTCACTCAATAGTTGTAGGTGGTCGGCTTCCTTAAGACTTGTAGAGCACCAGACCTAGGATACAAAAACATAGGTGATTACATCCCCACTAAATTGTCTCCCATTTATAAAGTATCTGTCACACCCTTTAGTGTAGACAAGCTATATACTGTCACATCAAAATTCACACAATAATAAATCTATTACTGTGGTACTGTGATACCAATGATACCTGTATGTGATAACTTTGATTTCGTAGATACAGTAAGCCCTTGGTACAGGTTAACTTTGATTTCGTAGATACAGTAAGCCTGTGGTACAGATTAACTTTGATTTCGTAGATAAAGCAAGTCTGTGGTACAGGTTAACTTTGATTTTGTAGATACAGTAAGCCTGTGGTACAGATTAACTTTGATTTCGTAGATACAGCAAGTCTGTGGTACAGGTTAACTTTGATTTTGTAGATTCAGTAAGCCTGTGGTACAGATTAACTTTGATTTCGTAGATACAGTAAGCCCGTGGTACAGGTTAACTTTGATTTCGTAGATACAGTAAGCCCGTGGTACACGTTAACTTTGATTTTGTAGATACAGTAAGCCCGTGGTACAGATTAACTTTGATTTCGTAGATACAGTAAGCCCGTGGTACAGGTTAACTTTGATTTCGTAGATACAGTAAGCCCATGGTACAGGTTAACTTTGATTTGGTAGATACAGTAAGCCCGTGGTACAGATTAACTTTGATTTCGTAGATACAGTAAGCCTGTGGTACAGGTTAACTTTGATTTCGTAGATACAGTAAGCCCATTGTACAGGTTAACTTTAAGTTCGTAGATACAGTAAGCCTGTGCTACAGATTAACTTTGATTTCGTAGATACAGTAAGCCCGTGGTACAGGTTAACTTTGATTTCGAAGATACAGTAAGCCCATGGTACAGGTTAACTTTGATTTTGTAGATACAGTAAGCCCTTGGTACAGGTTAACTTTGATTTCGTAGATACAGTAAGCTTGTGGTACAGGTTAACTTTGATTTCGTAGATACAGTAAGCCCATTGTACAGGTTAACTTTAAGTTCGTAGATACAGTAAGCCTGTGCTACAGATTAACTTTGATTTCGTAGATACAGTAAGCCCGTGGTACAAGTTAACTTTGATTTCGAAGATACAGTAAGCCCATGGTACAGGTTAACTTTGATTTTGTAGATCCAGTAAGCCTTTGGTACAGGTTAACTTTGATTTCGTAGATACAGTAAGCCTGTGGTACAGATTAACTTTGATTTCGTAGATACAGCAAGCCTGTGGTACAGGTTAACTTTGATTTTGTAGATACAGCAAGCCTGTGGTACAAGATAACAAAGCTGGGCGTTTGAGGTAAATTTTTGTCTACAATTAAGTCTTTATACTCATTAGTTAAATCTTGTGTTTTAGTTAATGGCAAATGTTCAAACATTTTTTTCAAATAATGTTGAATTGATGCAAGGGAAAATTTTGTCCCCTTTACTTTAATTTTTCTTTGTTTGTAAATGATTTTGAAAAAAGTTTTACAGAAAATGCGCCTCCGATAAAGATTTTTCGGGAATGAGGATTTTCTGGAATTAAGATTTTCTGGAATTCAAATTTTCTGGAATTAAGATTAGTTATTCTTTTTATAATATGCAGATGTTTTCTTTTATTTTCTAAGCCAATCAAAGGTTTACAAAGCCTTTTGAACAATCTTAATTCCAATAAGTGGAAATTAATAAATAAGTGGAAAATACAGAAAAAACCCCAAAATTATGGTTTTCAGAAATAGTGGAAGTATTAGAGAATCAGAAAACTGGGTATATAACGGCAACAAAATTTCAATTGTTGATGAATTTTGTTATTTGGAGGTAGTGTTTAGATTTAATGACAAATTCAGTTTTATGGTTAAATATGTAGCAGAGCAATGGCGTAAAGCCCTTTTTGCCTTACAGTCTAAATGTAAACACATTGAATTACCCATCAAAATGATGTTACACTTCTTTGACTCATATGTGAGTAGTATATTATATTATGGCTGTGAAATATGGAGAAGTTATAAAGGAGTTGAAATAGAAAGAGTTAATTAGGTATTTTGTAAAAATATAATGCGGGTTAAAAAATCCATGTGCAATGGTATATTTCGAGCATGGACGAATTCTTCTGGCAAATAATCAGATGCCTTGAATGTTTAAGTATTGGTTAAAGTTTAACAGCACATAGATGATCAAGCAAAGCAGACTTTATTCATTGGCCATTTCAAGTAAATGTGATCTCTATAAATATATAAAAGATACCTTGATGCTGCAATTTACTTAATACAGTTTATACCGAATTAATATCGAATCATGATTACCAAATTACATATGTCAGCACACAATCTTTCAATAGAAATGGGAAGGTACAGAAATGCAAAGAATAACAGATATTGCAGTAACTGTGACCTAACAGAGATAAAAGATGAATTTCATTTTCTATTTACCTGCCCAAGCCATCTAGATCTAAGGAGGAAACGTATTAAAAATTATTAGCAAAAACTATCTGTATTCAAGCTTATCTAATAAAAAATACACACAATGTAAAAGAACTGGATTTGTTTGATAATTTATAATTGGAGCTAACAGATGTAGGATTGTATAACTCTGAGTTTGTATAACCTAACTATTGTATAACTCCTAGTTTGTATTACCTAACTATTGTACAACTCTAAGTTTGTATTACCTAACTATTGTATAACTCTGAGTTTGTATAACCTAACTATTGTATAACTCTGAGTTTGTATAACCTAACTATTGTATAACTCTGAGTTTGTATTACCTAACTATTGTATAACTCTAAGTTTGTATTACCTAACTATTGTATAACTCTAAGTTTGTATTACCTAACTATGGTATAACTCTAAGTTTGTATTACCTAACTATTGTATAACTCTAAGTTTGTATTACCTAACTATGGTATAACTCTAAGTTTGTATTACCTAACTATTGTATAACTCTAAGTTTGTATTACCTAACTATTGTATAACTCTAAGTTTGTATTACCTAACTATTGTATAACTCTAAGTTTGTATTACCTAACTATTGTATAACTCTAAGTTTGTATTACCTAACTATTGTATAACTCTAAGTTTGTATTACCTAACTATTGTATAACTCTAAGTTTGTATTACCTAACTATTGTATAACTCTAAGTTTGTATTACCTAACTATTGTATAACTCTAAGTTTGTATTACCTAACTATTGTATAACTCTAAGTTTGTATTACCTAACTATTGTATAACTCTAAGTTTGTATTACCTAACTATTGTATAACTCTAAGTTTGTATTACCTAACTATTGTACAACTCTAAGTTTGTATTACCTAACTATTGTATAACTCTAAGTTTGTATTACCTAACTATTGTATAACTCTGAGTTTGTATTACCTAACTATTGTATAACTCTAAGTTTGTATTACCTAACTATTGTATAACTCTAAGTTTGTATTACCTAACTATTGTATAACTCTAAGTTTGTATTACCTAACTATTGTATAACTCTAAGTTTGTATTACCTAACTATTGTATAACTCTAAGTTTGTATTACCTAACTATTGTATAACTCTAAGTTTGTATTACCTAACTATTGTATAACTCTAAGTTTGTATTACCTAACTATTGTATAACTCTAAGTTTGTATTACCTAACTATTGTATAACTCTAAGTTTGTATTACCTAACTATTGTATAACTCTAAGTTTGTATTACCTAACTATTGTATAACTCTAAGTTTGTATTACCTAACTATTGTATAACTCTAAGTTTGTATTACCTAACTATTGTATAACTCTAAGTTTGTATTACCTAACTATTGTACAACTCTAAGTTTGTATTACCTAACTATTGTATAACTCTAAGTTTGTATTACCTAACTATTGTATAACTCTGAGTTTGTATTACCTAACTATTGTATAACTCTAAGTTTGTATTACCTAACTATTGTATAACTCTAAGTTTGTATTACCTAACTATTGTATAACTCTGAGTTTGTATTACCTAACTATTGTATAACTCTAAGTTTGTATTACCTAACTATTGTATAACTCTAAGTTTGTATTACCTAACTATTGTATAACTCTGAGTTTGTATTACCTAATTATTGTATAACTCTGAGTTTGTATTACCTAACTATTGTATAACTCTGAGTTTGTATTACCTAACTATTGTATAACTCTAAGTTTGTATTACCGAACTATTGTATAACTCTGAGTTTGTATAACCTAACTATTGTTTAACTCTAAGTTTGTATTACCTAATTATTGTATAACTCTGAGTTTGTATTACCTAACTATTGTATAACTCTAAGTTTGTATTACCTAACTATGGTATAACTCTAAGTTTGTATAACCTAACTATTGTTTAACTCTGAGTTTGTATTACCTAACTATTGTATAACTCTAAGTTTGTATAACCTAACTATTGTACAACTCTGAGTTTGTATTCCCTAACTATTGTACAACTCTAAGTTTGTATTACCTAACTATGGTATAACTCTAAGTTTGTATTACCTAACTATTGTACAACTCTAAGTTTGTATTACCTAACTATTGTATAACTCTGAGTTTGTATTACCTAACTATTGTATAACTCTAAGTTTGTATTACCTAACTATTGTATAACTCTAAGTTTGTATTACCTAACTATTGTATAACTCTGAGTTTGTATTACCTAACTATTGTATAACTCTAAGTTTGTATTACCTAACTATTGTATAACTCTAAGTTTGTATTACCTAACTATTGTATAACTCTGAGTTTGTATTACCTAACTATTGTATAACTCTAAGTTTGTATTACCTAACTATTGTATAACTCTAAGTTTGTATTACCTAACTATTGTATAACTCTGAGTTTGTATTACCTAACTATTGTATAACTCTAAGTTTGTATTACCTAACTATTGTATAACTCTAAGTTTGTATTACCTAACTATTGTATAACTCTGAGTTTGTATTACCTAACTATTGTATAACTCTAAGTTTGTATTACCTAACTATTGTATAACTCTAAGTTTGTATTACCTAACTATTGTATAACTCTGAGTTTGTATTACCTAACTATTGTATAACTCTAAGTTTGTATTACCTAACTATTGTATAACTCTAAGTTTGTATTACCTAATTATTGTATAACTCTAAGTTTGTATTATCTAATTATTGTATAACTCTAGAGTTTGTATTACCTAATTATTGTATAACTCTAAGTTTATATTACCTAATTATTGTATAACTCTGAATTTGTATTACCTAACTATTGTATAACTCTATCAAATCATGTTTATTTACATGTACTTCATTATCCTAGGCCTCTTGGTTATTCAGAAGAAGTTGTTTAAAGGTTTCAAACATATTTGACTCCTGTGACCTTGAATATTTATCAAGATCATTCGCTTGAACAAACTTGGTAGCCCTTCATCCCAGGATGTAACTGGCCAAATAGCATCATCCTGGTCCTTTTGGTTATTCAGAAGAAGTTGTTGAAAGGTTTTAAACATATTTGACCTCTGTGACCTTGCATATTTATCAAGGTCATTCATTTTAACAATCTTGGTAGCCCTTCATTCTAGTTTGCTTCTGGTCAAATATCATCACCTTAGGCCTCTTGGTTATTAAGAAGAAGATGTTTAAAGTAAAATATTGACACCGGACGCGGGACGGACAGATGGCAGATGCCGCACCACGGCATAAGTTCACTTGGCCCTTTGGGCTAAATATACATGTGACACCTGTAATAACTGTTAAAACTTACCTGTTATAATATATCTGTGAAACCCATAATAACTTACCTGTGATAAAATATCTGTGAAACCCATAATAACTTACCTGTGATAATATATCTGTGAAACCCATAATAACTTACCTGTGATAATATATCTGTGAAACCCATAATAACTTACCTGTGATAAAATATCTGTGACATCTGTAGCAAGAGGCCGAAGGGCCTTAGCGGTCACCTGCGTTATATCATAGGTACTGGTAGCTTTATTTTATTGTTTAGATGTGATGTGGAAATCAGCATGTAAACTAAGTGAAATACAATTCTTGTCATATGTCATCAAAGGATAAGAATTTGAAAATATTGGTACCCTTTGGGGCCCCGCCCTAGCCCCTGGGGATGAGGCAGGAATCCCAATTTTACAATGTAATACCTTCATTCACCAAAGATGATTCTGACTAAGTTTGAGTAATTTTCTGCTGAAAATGGATAAAATATACCCAAAAGTGTTATTTCCTTATATAAACTATAGTAAACTTTACCCCCTCCCCAAGTAAGAACGGATAGCTTGGGGGTCCTGAAATGTACAATTTAAATAAAGCCCCTGATGATCTTTCTTTTTATGCCCTGCAATTGAATGTAGTACCTCTAAGTCTGGTGAAGAAGATTTTTGAAATATTGGTTAATTTTTCCTTTGGGGCCCTGCCCTGGCCCCTAGGGTTGGGGTAGGAATCTCAATTTTACAATTTGAAACCATCTTCCTCCAAGGATAATTCTCAACAAGTAAAAATAATTTCCTACAGAAAGTTGTCAAAATATATCCAAAAGTGTTGTTTCCCTATAAAAACTATAGTAAACTTTACCCCCTCCCCAAGTAAGAACGGATAGCTTGGGGGTCCTGAAATGTACAATTTAAATAAAGCCCCTGATGATCTTTCTTTTTATGCACTGCAATTGAATGTAGTACCTCTAAGTCTGGAGAAGAAGATTTTTGAAACATTGGTTAATTTTCTCTTTGGGGCCCCGCCCTGGCCCCAGGGGTTGGGGTAGGAATCTCAATTTTACAATTTTGTAGCCTCATCTACCAAGGATGGTTCTGACCAAGTTTGAAAAAAATCCATCCACTGATTCTTGAGAGGAAGTTGAAAATGTAAAAGGTTTACGGACAACGACGGACGGAAAGCGATTAGAATAGGTCACTTGAGCAAAGCTCAGGTGACCTAATAACTTACCTGTGATAATGTATCTATGACACCTGTAATATCTTACCTGTGATAATGTATCTGTGACACCTGTAATAACTTACCTGTGATAAAATATCTGTGACACATGTAATAGCTTACCTGTGGTTATATAATTGTGATATTGTGTTAAGTTTTATTGTGATATTCCATTTCCCACAACAGTTAGTGCAACTCACCTGGGAGAACCCGAGGAAGAAGAGTTGTCTGTGTGTGAGGTTGATGGCTGGCAGGGGGCGCTCATCATTATGGTGTGAAATCCAATCTGTATAGGCCTGTTCAACATCAATCATATCAAATAACCGTCAAAGTGTGTCAAAGTCAAATAAGTTAAATGAACTAAATCAAACTTCTCACCTCAATATTTTGTCCTAGGACTATTGGTCATTCGAAAGAACCTGTTGAAAGATTTGAACACTTTTATCTCCTGTGGGAATGAAAGTCAAACAAGGCCATTAATCAAACCATGCAGCTGGCAAGATATCATCACCCTGGGTGTTTTGGTATTAATCAAGATCATCACCCTGGGTGTTTTGGTATTAATCAAGATCATCACCCTGGGTGTTTTGGTATTAATCAAGATATCATCACCCTGGGGTTTTTGGTATAAATCAAGATATCATCACCCTTGGCGTTTTGGTATTAATCAAGAAATTGTTTTAAACATTTTTTTTCATACGTTTAACCCTAGTGACCCTGAAAGTGAATCAAAGTCATTCATTTGATCAAACATGGTATCCCTTTATCACAGTATACTACTGGCTAGATATCATCACACTGGGTGTTTTTGATATTGAGGTTGCTTGAAGATTGATTTATATTTTTGACCCCAGTGACTTTAAAAGAGGGTTTAAATGATTCATTTGAACAAACCTGGTATACGTAGTTAGTTATCACTGCATGCTACGTCACACATATTTAGAAGAACTTTTTTAAGCTTTTTTTAAGACAATTGACTCCTTTGACATTAAATATATGGATGGAGGTCATTCATTTGACCAAAGTTGGTAACTCTTTATCCCAGCAAGTATCATCGCCCAGGTCCTGTTTGTTAGTCAGAAGAAGTCTGTCACAGAGTTTAACATTTGGGCCAGGTGAGTTAAAGGAGAAAAGGTATTGCCTCTGTTAGCTCATAACTGATTCCTCTTAGATAAGTTAAACCAGAGTGCTGTTTAAGACAGGTTTCACTCCAGTTAGATAAGTTAAACCCGAGTGCTGTCTAAGACAGGTTTCACTCCGGTTAGATAAGTTAAACCAGAGTGCTGTTAAAGACAGGTTTCACTCCTGTTAGATAAGATAAACCAGAGTGCTGTTTAAGACAGGTTTCACTCCTGTTAGATAAGTTAAACTAGAGTGCTGTTTAAGACCGGTTTCACTCCTAGTAGATAAGTTAAACCAGAGTGCTGTTTAAGACAGGTTTCACTCCTGTTAGATAAGTTAAACCAGAGTGCTGTTTAAGACAGGTTTCACTCCAGTTAGATAAGTTAAACCCGAGTGCTGTCTAAGACAGGTTTCACTCCTGTTAGATAAGTTAAACCAGAGTGCTGTTTAAGACAGGTTTCACTCCTGTTAGGAACTCATCCTTCACAGCTGATACTTTCAATACTGACTAAGACTCATCACAGTGGAGCTAGATTCCAGTAGATTATAGTACAGAAAACATACGACCAATGTTGATCAAGTTCAAACTTAGCCTATTCTTTCTACAATAGAGATATTGTCCACATCTCATCAGAATCTGGTCATATTGGATAAGGTTTTGTGTAGACATCATTGTCCAATCAGAGAACAGTAAGCTAATCTTTGTGTAGACATCATCGTCCAATCAGAGAACAGTAGGCTAATCTTTGTGTAGACATCATCGTCCAATCAGAGAACAGTTAGATAATCTTTGTGTAGACACCATCGTCCAATCAGAGAACAGTTAGCTAATCTTTGTGTAGACATCATCGTCCAATCAGGACAGTGAGCTAATCAATTTTATTTTAAACTTGTCCTCAGTGTACACTTTTAAGCCTGTTACCAAATTTCATAGAAAAAAAACAAAAAAATCAGCAATTTGCAGTGGCGGATCCAGAGACCTATCTGGGGGGGGTTCCAAATTTCCTGGGGGGGGTTCCACGTGGGGAAAAATTGAGGAAAATGGTGAAAATACATGATTTTTAAAGAAAATTTTCAGGGTGGGGGGTTTCCTGAAGCCCAAAAAAACCCTCTGGATCCGCCACTGATTTGCATGTACCTTGCAGGAACTTAAATGCAGACAGACAGACAGACAGACAGACAATCCCGTTGTAACATAATATGTCCTGTTAGAACATTTTGTTTAAAAAAATCTATGACTTACATGGTATGCAGACTTGAGGCCACCATTGTCTGCTATATTTTCCCCTAGTGTCAGCTTCCCTTTGATCTATCAACAAAACAGTATTTATTCAAATTATCACATGTTGCAACAAGCGGCCCAATGAGCCTTCATCGCTCACCTGGTATTAATCTCACACTTGTAACCTTAAAAATCTCACCCTTGTAACCTTTAAAGTGCACTAAAATATCAGTATCTATTACTCCAATTATTCATAAGAATCTGTTAAAAATTTAAACACATTTTACTTCTGTGACCTTAAAAGTCAAACAAGTTGAACAGAATTTATAGCCCTTCATCCAAGCATGCAACTTGCCAAATATCACCACCCGAGACCTTCAGTTTCTTGAGTTGAGGTCCTTTAAAGGTTTATAAACATTTGGCTATATGTGACCTTGAAAGTATGTCAAGGTCATTCCAATGAACAAACTTGGTAAATCTTTAACTGTCTTCTACTGGCCAAATATCACCACCCTATGTCTTTTTAGAAGTTGCTTAACCTTTAAAACTTATTTGACCCTTGTGACCTTGAATATGATTCAAGACCATTCTTTTGAACAACATAGGTAGCCTTTCATTCCAGCATGCTACTTGCCAAATATTATCACCCATGGCCTCTTGATTATTCAGAAGGAGTTGCATTTGTTTAAAGTAAACATTAAATGCCAAACGGCTAGACAGGCAGACGGACCTCCAGCCAGGTGAGCTAAAAACTGTTAAATTGCAGTTTTTATAATTTTTTGTCAATCAATATCTCAGATCAATCAGCTTCATAATACAATGATGTATTACAATGTTTTTTTTGGTGTTTTTTTGTGTGTTTAGTATGCATATTGTCCACTAAAATCCCTGATATGTGTCAAATATAGATCATGATCATCTCCCCTGAGAAACCTTTAACCTGCCTCACAGGAACTGAATGGTCAGGAAATCTCCATTTCTTAAAGTAGGATTCTACTTGGCAAAATGATGCTCAAGATTAAATGATGCTGAGATCCTTTTCTCAGTACTGAAGGAGTAGGAGTTTAGGGATTTACCACTCTGTTCCTAGGAAGACAACAACCCCCACCTATACACCATTGAGCTCACTTGGTCAAAGGATGCTCCACACCTGAATGGTCCCAACACCATTTTCCTGACAAACAATTTGCCAACCCTGGGCTACACACGATGAGGAGGAAACAATAGGATGACTACTGAAGAGACTTACATCCCTTTACTTAAGGTGTAGGATATCAAAGATTTACTCCCTACAGGGAAAAGGTATCTGGTTGGTAACATTCTCCATCAGGCTAGGATACCAGCAGCTATTAATTAATCTACATTAAATAACATTCCCAGATCAGCGTTGCTATGGAAGCCTCACCTGTTCACCGTTCAGCTTATATTGAGAGTATTGGTCCTGCATACATTCTGCTCTCTTCTGGAATCTCACCACCGACTGGTTATTCCACCAAGGTCGAAGGTTCCCATTCTTGTCATATTCACGTCCTGGGTAAATAAAAATTGTTTTTAATTATCCTAGCATAATGATCATTGTGGTTCTGAAATATATTCTAGTAACATTTACTGCCTGCTTACTTAATTGGTAGTTTGAGAATCTCTGCATATCAATAGAGCTTAGCTATTAATACAGTCCATTTTTGTTGGTTACTTCAGTTTTTGGCTCCGGTGTTCTGTAAACAGCTGTAAAGTTTGACAGATCACTGTATCTCAGCAGTTATAATAATATTTAGCTGATCTGAAAATGACATAATTATGAAAAATACTAAATATTAAACAACACAAAATTTTAGTTAAATGTTTTTAATTCAAATTTTAATTGAATTTTTTTCTCAAGCTGTATTTTATATTCAGCTACTGTCTGGGATGTGTATTGAAAAAATAGTGGTCGCTCACCTTGATCATCAAATCCATGTGTTAGTTCATGGCCCATCACCACACCAATAGCACCAAAGTTTAACGACCTGTAACATGCACATAAATATATAATACTATCCAGTCACCATCAAACTAGCTAACCAGTCACCATCAGACTA